CCAGGGATGGAGGTGAGGCTGACGCTGACAGGCATGAAGTTCACTGGGTCTTCCTTTCTGAAGGCTGGAGTAACATTTGCTTTCTTCCAGTCCTCAAGCACCTCTCCTGATTTCCATGACATTTCAAAGATGATTGAGAGTTGCCTAGTAGTGACATTGGCCAGCTCTCTCAGCACTTGTGGGTACATCTCGTCAGGACTGCAGACTTGTGTATGTCTGCTTTGCTTAAGTATTCCCTAACCTGATCTTCTACCAAGGGAAGATTTTCCTTTCTCCAGACTTTCCCCCAGGTCTCTAGGGTCTGAGATCCCTGAGGGCTGGTCTTACTGGTAAAGATTGAGGCAAAGGAGGCATTCAGTACCTTAGCCTTTTCTGTGTCCTTTGTCACCATGGCCCCTGCCCTGTTCAGCAGTGGGCTCGCATTTCTCCTAGTCTTCCCTTTGCTACTAATCTACGTAGCCCTTCTTGTTGTCCTTGACGTCTTTTGCCAGATTAAACTTCAGATGGGTGTTGGCCTTCCTAGTCCCAACCCTGCATGCTTGGACAGCATCCCTGTATTCCTCCCAAGTTACCTGTCCTCGTTTCCACCTCCTGTACGCTTCCTTTTAATGTCTTGTGCCAGTTTTGCCAGGAGTTCCTTGTTCATCCATGCAGGTCTCCTGTTACCTTTGCTCAACGTTCTCATCACTGGGATGGACTGTTCTTGAGCTTAGAGGAGGTGATCCCTGAAAATCAACCAGCTTTCTTGGACTGCCCTCCCTTCCCTCTAGGACCCAATTTATTATCACTTAGGTTTCCTTATAGCTTGAAAAATTAGGGCTTTTACTCTTAAACCTCCAAGTTGGTTTTTTAGAATGCAACAGTTTTCCCCAAACTTTGCCATTTGGGGGCTTTTAGAAATAAAATCAGAAACCAATTAACTTGATCTAAAGCTTGCTTTTTTCCCCTCCCATACAATTAGTCAATGTAGTACTGATGAAGACTTGTGGAATACAAATATTGTGGGGAAGTAATTGTGGGTTGTTTTTTTTTTTTTCAGATGCAAGTCCATCAAGTCCTCTCTCAGGCAAAGTGGGAGGAGCAGTGAAGTTATCCATATCATACAGAAATAGCACTCTATTTATCATGGTAATGCACATCAAAGATCTGGTGAGTTGAGATGTTGAGCTCAGTGCCAAAAACTCTTCTGTTTTGTGGGTGATCTTTACTTAGATTGCAGTAATGATGGAAATATCTTTTTTCCTTCAAATTTAATTATTCCAAAGGCTAATTTAATCAACTGCTGATTTTGGTTAGCTTGGTGGTAATAACTAAGAATTTGAAAAAAGAACTTCAAATGGATGTGCGCTAATTAGTTTTCTAATTTGTCTTGTTTTTTAAATTGTAGGTTACAGAAGATGGTGCTGATCCAAATCCCTATGTAAAAACATACTTACTTCCAGATACGCACAAAACATCCAAACGCAAAACTAAAATCTCCCGAAAGACAAGAAATCCAACTTTCAATGAAATGGCAAGTTAAAATTGAATATGTAACAACTCCCTATTGTCTGATACAAATTTATCTTTAAAAAAAAAAATCTTCAAATGTATATGAAGGGAAAATAGACGTGTTTCAAAAACGTTAGGCCCTGTTTTTAAAAATAATCTGATTATGTAATCTTATTATAAGGAAGCAAGTAAGCAGATATTTCTCAGACTGACTTTAAGGAGTGATGGGGAGAAGGAGAGGAATTGTGGAAGTAACTTTTTATTGTTTTTTCCCCTCCCCAGTCCCTCTGCCCTTCCCTTCCACTCATAAATTGGCCAGTGTGGATTACTCTATGTTCCCAGTTGCTCTGAATTAATGGGGAGAAGAATAAATTCAAAAGTCATGTAAACAGTACTTCCCAACTAAAAATTCGGTTCCTTTTAAACAGTTAGCATTCAGGGCACCAAATAAAACAAGCATGTGCTTCAGTCCAGCCTCTGAAAAGCAGACTTACTGAATGGGCGTAACATGCAGTTGATAAGAAATGCTTACATTTTTCAGTAGCTCGGCAGTCAGAAAAAGGGTGCTCTGGGCAACTTCACTTGGATAACCAAAAAATTCTTAACTTTTTACCTTCTAGCTTGTGTACAGTGGCTACAGCATGGAGACACTGAAACAGAGAGAACTTCAGTTAAGTGTGCTCAGTGCAGAATCTTTACGTGAGAACTTTTTCTTGGGTGGAATTACACTCTCACTAAAGGACTTCAACTTAAGCAAGGAGACTGTTAATTGGTATCAACTAACTGCTGTACCCTATCTGTGAACTCATTTCTACACCTGAGTAAGAACAATTGTATTCACCTGGGCTTTGTGCATCTTCTTACTTGAAAATAACTTGTACATTTTAAAATAAGAGACTGCATTTCAACAGATATGTTGGACCAACCTTCATGTAGCCCAACTTGGAGGATTTCTAGAAAACCATTGCTGGTTTACGCTTATGCAATGTTATCAAAGCATTAATGTGAATGTTTCTTAATAGTTGCAGGTAAAGGAAGGGTTTTTAAACCATCCATGAAAGAGTCAAATTAACAGTCTGACCATGCTGGTTGGTTAAACCACCATAACTTAATCGCAAACTTAGGCCTGTGGATATAGTGGATTTTTGCGTTATAATTTTTTTGTTCTCTGTGTTGTGTCATCCATGGCATGATGCCGGAGGACATCAAAGAAAATGTGTATTTTTTAGGATTACATTCCCACTATTAACTAGACATCACAGAAGCAGCAATGGGTAAAATATTGGTGGGTTTCATACCCGTAGAAATTGAATTTGAAGGGCTGGAAAAATTCCTTGGCATTGCATTTGATCCCGGATTTATGCTTCTCTACGTTATTGGAGTGAGTGCCAATAATGGAAGTTGTAAATAATGGTGCCTTATAACTCAAATGCTTCTCTTGTACCTCATTTCTAGTATTTAAATATGTATATGCTAACTGTTTCAGCCCCTTAGAAAGGGGAAACATTCTCACGTTCAATAACTTGCAGGTCCGACTGTAAGTCTTTTCCTGAGAAGTGTTTTATTTCCAAATAACATCACTTAAACTGATCTTCATAATTAGGGTAACTTATGTGAATTCCTTCTGCCCTATCTTCTACCCATGATCTGCAAAAGTGTATGAGGACTGGCTGAATGTGTGCTGCTTTTTGATGTTTTGAAACAATATTTTAAAATCTTTAAAACTTCAATACTGCAGTGAGTAAATCTGGAAGAGATTCGAACGCAGAATCCACAGTGGTATTGCACCTAAATTATTTGTTTGCACCTCCAGGTCAATGATGGTCTCCACTTAAAGTGCAACTGCTGAATAAACTGCAGGTCAGGAATGAGTTGCATTAACAGAGCTTTGGGAGAGGAACTCGGTCACTTGTTTTTCTACACTTCCTGGTAACACTGTTTCTCATTCAAGCAGCATTAAGTTTGAAATCTTTTGTGACAAAGGAGTATAAATGTTAACTACTCTTTCACATTAATATCACTGGTTACCTAAGTGGGGGTTTCTGCACTACAAGGATAGCCTTGTTATTCAGCTTACTCAGTTTTTAGTATGGGCATGTTCTGTCTAGACAAAGCTGGAGTTAAATTGCACACTTTTTTAGTGGTAGTGGTTTTTAGTGGATCTGAAGCATATTTTGAGAAAGGGTGACAGACTATCTGCACTATCACTGGAATTAAAGTAAAATATGGAGTGATGAATGATGACACAGTACAGGCAAGTCTTTTATTTGCCCAACACTAAAAAGCTTTTTCGTAATCTGACTTCCTGGCCCTGCTACTGACAGAAGAGAAGTAAACTTGAATCTCTTGGTGCCTAAAATATTCATGGTCCAATTTCTTAGGTAAGGTATGATTATAATTAAAAGGCTAAGAATATCTTGAATGTTAGAAACTGGGTTGCTACTAATAGGCACTAACACAATCCAAAATCCCAGTTCTATGACCTATCTTCTGCATATTTTTCATTTAGTATATAGCATGTAAATAATATACTATATGACTAACTAGATAGATTTCCTGCTCACTTGATGCTTTTGAGACTTATTCCATTCCATCATCAGAATCACAAGTCACTTAAACACAGGAAAGTAGACTACTGTTTTTGTGAAACGTTCCATTGTGAAATAAAATTAAAGCAATATGTACTGCCTTTTTGCAGTTTGCTATTAAAGCACAGTGTCTTACAGCACAAAATAGAAATAAACTAAAATCATTTTAAAAATGATTTGCAGTTTTAACAGTTGTCTGGACTCTTAAGAAAATGTGTAGTGTACTGTACTAACAGTCTTTTTCATTGCTTAACTCATTTTGTGCCTTTCCCTTCCTTTTGCAAAATATTCACTGGCTAAAGCTTTTTGTGGTCATAGTTTTTATTTTGTGTATTGGATCTAGCCTTGCCCTCTGCTCGGGAGTAGAGGAAGAGCACCAAGCTTGCACCTCTTTGCACTATTCTTAGTCGATTAAGAAGAAAGTGGTTCTGTTGCAATAACCTTTTAACGTATTACATAAAATGTGAAAGAGGAGGATACTAAGCTGGGATGGAAGGTGCCAGTATGCTAATTTGTTTGAAAATGTAGCTCAGCGGCTTTCTGTATCTTGCTTAGTTACAAAAATTGTTTTATGCAATATATGGCCTGCACCCAGAACTGCACTCATCTCTCCAGCTTGTTTTGATATTTGAGAATAACAGCCTGCTCTGACTTGTTCGTTTTATTAAAGCTAACCTAGAACTTGCACTGAAATTTTTATTACTGCCTTTTTATGAGTTATAGGTACCTACAGCTGGAAGCACGTGTGATCTTTGATTAAAAAGTTCTTTTCTCTACTTTAAAAAAAAAAAAAAACAAAAAACAAGGTTGTGAGGAATCTCAGTACTTTGCCTTAAGGAGACTGCTCTTTCTAGAACTCTGCGGGGTCGGTTTTTCCAAGCGCACTTCTCTGCTCTGTGTTGCTCTCACCGCCTTGCCCGGGCCCTGCTTGGGCTGTGACCAGGTGGCGGTGACGAACTTCAGGGAGAGCAGCGCCTTTGCCTCCCTTTGTCGACAGAGCTGTAAGAACCAAATGCTTCTACGGGAACGACTCGTTAATGGAGGTGTACCATATTGCCCTTATACTGTAAACGTGACTCGGTAACTGTCTTGTAAGTGCATTAAACACTATTCTGCCCTTTAAAAAAAAAAAAAAAAAAAAAGAAGAAGCGTGCTGTTCTTCCCTTTCCTGCCG